CATGCATGGGGCACAATTCGTGATTCTATCGCATATAACTGTGTGGCATCAATGCCAGAGCGACTTCAAGCCGTATATAGCGCAAGAGGGTGGTACACGCGATATTGATTAGTTCTGGATAAGCCCAACGAGCTAGATGATCTTCAGAGTTTCAGGATCATTCCGGTACAATTTGTATGGGTATTTCTATTGTTGTTGTACCCAGCGCGCTCAATCGAAACGAAGGGGGTGGGCGCGCGGAAAGCTGCCAAGGAGCTGGCTTTGCGAAACTTTTGTTCACCCACTGTATGTATAAGCGTACAAAAATCTCTGACCATTGATTGATGGGAACGCTTCTTCTCCGTGTTTCATCATGATGTCGGACATCTTAGTGAAACTGGATGGTACGTAAGCATGCAAGGTGTGGATGCCTTCCCTTCCATCACATAGGTGATCATCTGGTTCTTGTCGTCGTCTTCTTCGGGATCGCTTTCGACATCTTCTTCTTCGATATCACCTTCTTCGAAACACTCCTCTCTGGTAATGACATTAATTTCGCTGTAGCCTCCTCTACCCCTATGTCTCGGCTGAGTAGGAAACCATCCAGATCCCATCTTAGCGTCGTAATAGACTAGGCAGCTGTCGTCATAACAGAAGGTCCAGATAAGTAAATCATGGCGACCATGTTCGAGGATCAGATTCTCTGTCTCTGGTTTCGGCTTTCCGGGCCGGAGCTCTTCTGGCTTGCGCTGTGTCATGTTGAATTTTCTCCGGGGCACCTTGTTCTTCGAATGACAATTCCTTGCCATGTGGCCTTGTTTGCCACATCCATAGCGAGTCATCGAACTCTTCCCTTTGTACTGCTTCCTGCCCTGCGATCGTCGACCTTCCGTAGCATCCAGTTCCATTGGCTGAAGTTCATAAGGATCCTGGTACTGATTGTTGTCACCTGTAAACTTCTTTCTTTTGAAGTTGTTGTTACTACGGTATGGAACATAAACAGACTTGTCGCGTGGGGCAGTGTCATGGCGTCTTTCCATAGCACGTTCGTAAAGGTTGTCGTCGATTTCGATCGCTGCACGGATGAGGTCATCAAGATTTTCAATCTTCATGCCGGCTCTCATGAGTTCGTCTTTGACATTCTCTTTCAGACCACGTCTGAACATAGTCATGAGGGCGGAGTCATCCCAATCGGTAATCTGGGCATACTTCTGGAATTTAGCGGCATGGTCGGATGCTGAAGTGTGTTGGCGGATATGCTGAGTGAGGTATACAGCAATTTTATCCTCATTGGAGATGCCAAAAATACGGCGGAACTCTTCCTTGAAGTTGACGAGGCTGGTAAGAATACCATCAGTGTCTCCTTAACCGTTCAAGAACTTCGTGAGCATCGGTTTCGTCCAGTGCTGGGCTCTTCCTTGGAGGTAGGCCGTAGCGAGCAAGGTTTGCTTGTTGGATTCAATTCATCTGAAAAATCCAATCGTTAAGGCCCTGACGGTCTCCATAGTAGAGATAGGGCTTGGCGACCTTGGTGTCGTCCTTGTCGCGGTGAGTGCTAGTAGAGCGAGTTCCACCAACCTCGCTGGGTGTACCTCTCGGGGTGTTGCTTGATTCGCTCATTCTGAGGGCGTACAAAGTTGCTATGACCAACTATTCTGGGAAGAATAACTAGTCACGGGATTTGTACTCGTGAGGAGGAGTGTCAAGCAAGTGAAGCAAGTAGTGTGTTGTGTAGTGTAAACCAAAGGGACTGTTGGAATAACTATTTGAGTTGAACGCAGGACCTCCTAGTGAGTTACTGCCTACCTATATACCCAGTAGATAATGAGTGTATGCATGTTTCTCTGCGTGCTCTGTTGTTCTATTTGCTCCGTGGAATTCAGAGCAAGCAAGAGATCGGACAGAGCAGGGTGCATCAGGCAGCCGCCTGCTGCAGAGTGCTCTGTATGGAGGGCTGATCTTGGCGAAATCCTCAGAGCAGGATTCCCTTTCCGGTAAAGATTGCCGTAAAGCCCGTTACGCTTAACTCAGCTCGTAACATGCTCCTCTTTACGCTTGGTCTCGGACTTTATCAGCTTTCCTCATGAGAAACTCATTCTTATCCTCCGAAGAAGTAAGATTCATGTATTCCTGATACCCCTGACCTTCCATGTCAATCAAGTAGCTCTTTGTCCCAATCTTTCTGCCTCTGTAATTGGGCTTACGACCACTGTTTGCACACGATTGCGTATCTGCGTCATGGCTACTGCGCTTAGTGTTCTCCTCGATCCACTTGCACCCCGAGATACGAGCTATATCATCGGAGACGCCCCAACACAGATAGCTGCCGCCTAGAAGTATATTGCAATAGTCGCCGGACTGCAACGCGAAGGCTTGAATAGGTTTCGATGGCAGATTAGCCTCGCAGGATTGGAAGAGTTCTTCATCGCTGTAGCAGCAATTACCTGCGGGTATGTTTTCGCAGGTGATGAAGTCGTCGCCATCGCAAGAATTATCATCAGGGAACATGTCGATATCTGTTGCTAGAGAGCCAAGCACCAGGCAGGTGAAAAGTAAGACTAGATATGTTCTAGACATGTTTCAAATTGGAGAAAGGGCGGGCTTGCGGTATAGAGTATAACAGAAGAGAATCAATAGCCAGTCGTTCTGTATCTTCTTAGGGAAAGAGTCAAGTAGGGAGGTGATGAGATGGACGAGTAAAACCGACCCTGCTAGTAGTATTTATAATCCTTCTCTTGATCACAAATGAATACGATCTTGGCAGGAGTATCACAAAGGAGATCCCAAAGAAGGGTTGTTCTGATTTGCTAAGTTCCGTGGACTGCACCCTAATGGAGACAATGAATCCACCTTCCTATCAAAGTAAATGATTCAAGCTAAGCATTTTTTCAATATGTTGCAAATCATTGATTTGATCTCTGTTCCCGAAACTTGATCCGCCATCACAAACAGTCTATCGATCACACATATTCAAGCAGCCTGCTGCTGTGCCATTAGCTTATTTTATGGCAGAGATCGACGCTGCACAAATCAGCCACGGGCTAGAGTAGAATCATTCCGTCATGTTTTCCCAAAGAGGTCTCTTTCTGGGATTGAATTATGATTCTGTATTTGACAAGTCTTGAGACTAGACTTAGAGGAATTCGTGTCATGATAAGTGGAGGCTGTCGATCCTTGGCATGCTACTGCGGGCACACTCTTTCGGGGATTGTTTTTCGCTAGCGGATCCGTTGTAGGATCATGCAAGAGTAACCAAATTGGTATTTCATGACCAGGACGTAGCATCAGAAGTGGGGTAATCAGTCGTCGGGTGATCCTCCGTACAGCCCATGACGTCTTTTGTCGCTCTGAGCCACCTTGCTTTTGAGCGAAGACTGCCGATCCTTGACACACTCTTTCTGGGATTGTTTTTCGCTAGCAGATCCGTTGTAGGATCATGCAAGAGTAACCAAATTGGTATTTCATGACCAGGACGTAGCATCAGAAGTGGGGTAATCAGTCGTCGGGTGATCGTCCGTGCGACCTATGACGATCTGTGTCGCGTGAATCCTATCGCGCGTTGAAATGAATGGCGTGTGGATGATTGACTAGCCTACGATACCTGAATTCATCGTCATACAGTTTATCGTCCGTCAACGTTATTAAGTTTCGTAGCCAGATCCTTCACTTTCTAATTTCTCATACCACACTACTTCTGTCTCTTGAAGGCAACGTCACTCAGTTTTGACTGTATCCTTGAGCCAATCTGTTGAATCTTCCAACTTCAATCGTGCCAGGACCAAGATGTCTCTAAAACGCATCGCCCAAGAATATACAAACCTACAAAGCGATCCTCTGGAGGCATGCTCGGCGGCTCCTGCCAACGACGACAACCTGCAACAATGGAACGCCATGATCACTGGTCCTCAGGATACTCCATACGCTCAAGGAACATTCAGAGTCAACATCCACTTTCCAGATAATTATCCTCGTAGTGCTCCTCATGTCAATTTCTCCACCCTCACCTTCCATCCCAATATCTCGGTGCAAGGAGAGGTGCGACTTGCAGAGCTAGAGGAACTACAGTGGTCTCCTGCTTTTACTGTTCGGACTGTTCTTATTTCTCTTCAGGCTATGCTATCGGATCCGAATACTTCAGGAGGTTGTGTCTTAAACGAGGAGGCTGCGAAGCTATATCTAGAAGACCATTCAGAATTCGAGGAGAAAGCACGTCAGTGGACGATGTCTTATGCTAACGCAAAAGAGAAGGAGTCCCATAGAGGCGTTGATGTTTAGTGTAGACTACGCTGTCAGAACGACGACTATACCCTCACCTCCATGCCCTAAACAAATCGACCTTCATACATTTTGACCCTCATCTTCATTACCCTACTCACCTCTTGTCGCCTGTTACGAGCGAATACCAGATCGTCTTTCTCCTCTAGCAATCAGCTGACGAGTTTCTATCTACTCTTAACCCTTCTCGTCCTATGTTTTAACTCCGAACGAACAACTCATTCTGCATCTTCTCTTCTAAATCTTCCAACAAATTCCAAGCCATCCACCCGACACTGAAGCCGTGTGTCCTCTATCGCCAAGGTTTGGCGTGTTACATCACTGTCAAAGGCACTGTGGTTTGAGATCAAGATGGTCTGTAGTCAGGGCGAGCATTTCGAGCACCGAAACTGGACTAGAATCCAATAATTGAAAGCATCATGCCTTTCGATAGGCAGCTCACAATAATAAATGTCAGCGGGCCCGCCCTAAAGCCCTGTGTACTACTACTAGCCTTAGCGATGCTTTGACTGACGAGTTTGGTATATATTTGCACTTAAACAAAACAAATGGAATCAGATACTCTCGCATCAAAAGCTCTTGTCTATGTTCTTGCGCACTCTGAAAATGGCGCGATACTACGATTGTGTCATATGGACCTGACATTTGGAGGAGATGACTTTCATTGTATGCTCAACACAGCAAGACTAATTAGTCCCAACAAGAAGATGTTCGTCTATCTCGTTCTCAGTGCCAGCCACGTTGAAAGTATAGAGATAGGAAAGGACGACGCTGTGCCGGTTGAGGTCACGAATGCTTTCGTAGAACAGTCACGCTGCACAGCATCGACCGAGATTTTGAGCATGCAATTTGCCCTCAAAGGTCAGGTGCCTGTTATCTCTCCGGACTCGACGTTACGAAAAAGGCCATGAATATGCAAAGCTATAGATGTTTCGCTGTGGATAGGTCGCTGCAAAACACTCAAGATCTTCGTGCCTTCTCAATTCATCAAAAAGCAGCATCTCCCAGAGCTCTGCAGCTCGCTGGCTCAACGGACTCTCAAGCCGGCTCTCAATGATATCCTGAAAACTCTGCATGCAGGCACCGGCGGCAAGCTCGTCACGGACACGGAAAATCCATGCAGGCGCGAGCAGCGTACTACCCAGTCAACGCGTTTGAGGCGTGAGGTGATTATCCTCGGGCTAAGCCGAGCATCTGTCAGAGAACACGATATAGGATTATAGACTGTGTTATGAATGACATTTCTGAACAACACAAGCAAGGAGATCGTTACAAATCTTCGTCTTGGATCCCCGTTACGTTGCTCTGCGTGAACCGTAGATCTACTGTAAGCTTTTTTGTCGAGTAGTCTCCTTCCGTTCATCACGGACACATCTCGCAAGACACTCTAAGATGCACGATTGTTCATCGAACTTATCAGCTATGGTCTCATGATCATTTGGGAAGCTCTGAAGCAGTATTGAACCTCACGAGATTCATAAAAGAGGGTGCTCTAAAGATCTGGTAGGGAAAGGAACAGCAAACTTCTCTAGGGCTCAAGTGAGCTTGAAATGATGGACTTACGCTAAACTGTCTCAATAGTCAAAGCTAGCCGACCTCGAGACCGATGCATAGTACCCATCAATTGGAGCATGTCTGGGAGCAGGCCACGAAGAGATTCGCCATTGTGGCCTCCTATTCTTCTCAGATGAAGCTAGCAGATCGGAAGTGCGACAACCATGACAAAGCACTTCGTGCCGCGCTCGAAGCCTTACAAGATGGGGAGTTTATAACGAGCGAGTATCTTGTTTACATGAACCGTAAGATCTTCTCACACTTAAAATTCACCAAAGTTCCTCATCGAGGGCCGGTGCAACGATCTGGCGGAGTCTCTCCTGCGTCGCGATTCTGAGATACATACTCTAGTAGGTCTCTTTCCCAATTGTACTTTTTCGCTCTATCCAACAACCTTTACTTTGCTCTTCCAGTCACTCCCTTTACGCCAGATCCCTGCAGACAGTCCTTAACGGTTTCTATACCATCACTTCAGCACCCCATCATACACTTCCAGCCAGTTGATCACGGAATCTCACTCTCTTCGTTTACATCTTTAACCACGAAGAAGACATCAGACAAGATGCAGTTCTCTGTTTCCGCCATTTTGAGCGGTCTTGCTGCCACCGCAGCTGCGCTTCCAACTGAGATGGTCCTTCAGAAGAGAGGTACCATCTCTGCCACTCCTCATGTTGAGTACAGCTCCAGTATTGGCGTCCTCGGATGCAAGATCAACACCAACAGAGTTGCATACTGGCCCATGAGCGTTAGCTGTGATAACCTGTGTGTCAAAGTTAGCCATCAAGGCCGTTCTCTCCACCTCCTCCGGGTCGACCAGTCTGGAGGTGCCTACGACATGAGCTATGATGCATGGAACACTCTTGTCACCGGCAAGAACGCTACCGTTGGCCCAACCATGGGCGGTGGTGTCGACATGGAGTACGAGAGCGTCGACATGGACGAGTGCTCACACCTTCTTCACGATTCTGACGGCAAGCTTGCATTCTCCGCCGCCAACAGCATGAATTTCATCGCTTCCTGCATCAGCGAGCCCAACAGCTGGGTTGCCAAGAACTACGGTCTCTGGAACATTTACAACTCCATCTGTACCAACGGTGTTGATGAGCAGTGCACTTTGGACTTGAGCGTCAGCAACCAGCCTTCATGCG